GTTATACCTACTGGAGTCAATGAAAATCCATCCTGTATTCCACGTGTCTCTTCTAGAACCATACAAGACAGTGGATATACAAGGAAGAAGACAAATGCCAGTGCCTCCTATAGAAGTGGACAATAATGAAGAATTTAAGGTCGAAGAAGTTTTAGACTCAAGGCGGCGTCGAAATAAGTTGGAATATCTTATTCATTGGCGCGGATATAATATTAGTGAACGCACATGGGAGCCGGCAAAGAATCTTGTGAATGCAACAAAGAAGGTGGAGGCTTTTCATCGACGACATCCATCAAAATCAAGGTGAAGATCCTTTTTATAAAAGAAACAAGTTCTAGACAAGACATCATTCTACTTACAATCCTTGCTTCTAGCTTCTTTGTGTTTTGAAACGTTGAAGAAATGGAGAACTAGCAACTAAGAGATTCGACTCAAGAGCCTTCATTTGTTGATCTGTCGAACAAGACATTGCGATTGTCACAGCCTTCAAGGCGACGCAACCGAGATGAAGACCCTCAAGAACGACATGTTCTTCCTTGAATAGATGGCGAGATACAACGCGTTTGGTATCATGATCTTGGAAGAGACTCTCGATGCTTGGTAATATTGCTAGAGGTAGGAACGACTCTTGATGGTATTCGAGATGTTTTATTTGAAGGAAGTTATGAAGGTCTGAACAACGATCAAATAACAGGATGGTCTTCTCGTCCTGGTATGGGACACTATCGATGGTTGAAGGCCCTATCAACTATCTTCGAAGAGAACAAAGATCTGAGTATGTGGCGAATACAATTCGTCGCATTATAGACTTCCTCAACATATGATGACCGCTCTTCGTGGAACTCGTCCCTAGAAGAGGGGATAATGTCATGGACATACACATTTATCTCAATAATTACCTATGTAACTAAATAGAAGTAAGTAAAGATAGATTGAAGTAGGTAAGTTTGACAATATCCTTAGAGAAGCTTCCTAGAAGCTTCATAGACGCTGTTTCATCTTTATACATGTTTAGAGGTGATTGGTAGCTTGAACACATGGCCAACAAGCTAGCCACGTGTCACGTAGCTTAGAAAGCAAGCTAAGTGTGTGGACTACAAAGTCAACACATATTTGCGGTCCTATAGGATTTTGCCACGAAGCCTTTAGTTAGATAGTATATATAGAGGCAAGAGTGAAGCCTTCTTCACTCTTGTCAATGCCTTTCTAGTCCTTAGTCTTGTTTCAAGACTTTCTAGTCTTCTTGTTTTTGGCAATAGCCATTCCAGTTCTAATACTACATTAGTTTGAGTGAATTCTTAGTCTTTCTTGATTTTTGAGTTCTTCCAGATTCATGTCCTTGACACGCTGTCTTCCACTCATCCCCTTCCTTGATTCGTACGAGGTTATAAGCTCCCCTTAGATTAATTTTTGTAAAGATCCTTGCACGTCCAAGTTGTTCTTAGAGACTAGAAATCAAGGATAACAGGTAATGATTCTTCTTTGTTACCTTGTTGAGGCCTCGATAGTCCACGCACATCCACAACGAGCTATCTTTCTTCTTCACAAATAAGATGGATGCTCCAACTGACGATTTTGAATGACGGATGAAGTTCTTGGCTAGATTCTTGTTGATGTACTTCCACAAATCCGCCAACTCCATTTGCGATAGATTGTAGATTCGACAAAAGGGTGGTTGTGGTCCTTCTTGCAAGTCTATGGCGCAATCATATGGTTGGTGTTCTAGTAGCATGTCGACATTCTTCTTTTGAAACACGTCTTTAAAATCCTTATATTACTTAGATATACTTGTTGTTGAGATCTTCTCCCCGGTAGTTGGAATCGTATAAATGACAAATGGTGTGCCTTTCTTGGACGATCTTATAAATGCTCTTGCTCCAATGAATAAGGATTTATCTATTCAAGGTTTTCTATTAGGCTTGCTCTTGTGTGGTTTTGTGGGAAAGGTCATCTTCCGTAACCTCCAATCTATGGATGGATTATACTTTTTTAATCAAGAAAGACCAAGAATAACAGGATTTGATGGTGTTCTAATAATATTAAAAATAATATGACTATTATGGCCCTTAAACGTCACTTCTATAGGTTGTGATTCATGGATGATACTACCAGACAATAAAGGTTGCCCATCTATGACGTCAATGTGAACAGGTTTGGATTTTTCTATTAAAGAGATCTTATGACGCTTCACAAATTCTTTGTCTAAGAAATAAGCAGATGCTCTTGAATCTAATAATGCTAAGGTTCTCAGTTTCTGAGGGCCAATAAGCAAAGGGATTGTAAAGCAAAGGGCAAGTTGAGCGGAAAGAAAAGAACCTAGTTGTTATTGCGATATTTCACTATCGAGCTGCATGGTTCCTATTGTGGTTAGGCATCCTCGTTTTCCTGAACAAATGCGTCCCTAGTCTTGACAATACGTTGATTTTGCTTCTTGGGGCAGTTTCCAACTTTGTGGCCTTCTTCACCATAATAGAAGCATAGACCTTCTTCCATACGTCGCTTTTTTTCTTCTAGAGTAAGAGATTTGACACGTACCGCATCAATTTGCATGTCTTCTACTTCTGAATGTGAATTCACACTGCTTGTTGACATAGTTGGGGTGTGGCAAATCGTATGTTATCTTGAACATTGGTCTTGATGGCGTTGGAATAGGCAGTTATTGCACTTCACAACTTGGCTAATAGCTTCATTGAGCGTTTGTGGATTAGGAAGAATTAATAGCAAATTCTTTACATCGTCCCTTAAACCCCAATAGAATTGATTCATCAACGCTTCTTCATCCTAATTGATGTCGCATGCTAATTGCCTAAAGTTCGATGCATAAATTGATGTAGAGCACATCCCTTGTCGTAGTGATCGAATTTTTGTTGTAGCCCATCGAACCTTGTCATGTTCACCAAATGCTTCCGCAAACGCCTCCAAAAAGGTTTCAAAGTTGTTTAGTATGGACGATCGTTTCTCAAACAAAGGAGCAAACCATGATAGAGCTTGCCCTGTAAGTAAGGTTCCAACAAGCCCAATACGTGACTCCTCCATTGAATAGCGTTTGGGTTGTAAAATTGTTATCAACCTAATTTGGTTGACAAATCCTCGAAACTTGGAATGCGTACCATCAAACTTGTCCGGAAGGCTAACTCGGGACTCCTTATGTTGTAGAACCAATGGTGCTTGTCGAACCTGAGGCAAAGTTGCTTCTCCAAGTGCAGAAGTTTGAGGCTGGTGCAACCTAGATTGTGCCATCCCAGATGTTCCATCATTATGAAGCCTTGCCATTAACGACTCCTTCAATCTCTACAGTTCTTTGCGATAACATAGTGAAGACATTTATGATAGCATCCAACTTGGACTCCAAACTTTCTGTCATACTAATGTCTTGGCCTCCGGCCATTCTAAGAGAAGAAAAGAAATGACTCTATAAAAAGACAATATTGGTTTAGAGGAGGGTACTCCGCAATCTCTAAAATGCCATAAGAGCTTCAAGAAAAGGGGTAATCCACTCTCTCCAAGAAGAATAAGATTTCAATATTGTAACAAAAGAAGTATCAGTTTAGAAGAGAATAATACGCAACCTCTAAAATGCTAGTACACTTCTAAGTAGAGGAATAATCTACACTCTAATGAAGAAGGAACTAGCTCTGATATTTGAGGTGAGTGAAGTCTCGACAAACTGTCACGGACACAGAATACAGACTTGAAATCTAAGAAGAAATTCAAGAAGAATTGGCAAGAACTAGATTAATCAGATGAATACAGGAATAACACCAGAGAGGTAAGCTAGAGCTCCAAGAGATGTGTTTTCGAGATTGAAGAACTCTTCAGCCTCGATTCCAATATATACTCCTATTTAAGAAGCTTCTCAAGCAACTTCTACCAACTAGGAAGCTTCTAGATGGTTCCAGAGACTTGCTTCTAGAAGGTTCTAGAAACTTGTCTCTGAAAGATTTTAAGGACTATGTCCCTAACACCAAGTTATAATTTGAATGATTGCATACATTTTTGAACTATTTATAAGATAGATTTGAACTCTAAAAGAAAAATCAATTACAAAAAAAATACAACATAAATAAGATAGTTTATAGAAATAACTACCTTATTTTGTTATTTGAAATTTAAGACATTCCTAAAAATGAGAAAAAAACATCTATAAAATTTAAAATTTTTGCTAGGTTTTTTCAAAATACCAAATTATGTTGTATTTAATTATTATTTGAGTTCAAAAGAAAATTTAAAAATAAGAGACAATGAGACTAATGGCATTCTTGTATTGCATAAAAACTACTTGTTTTTTTTTGTTATTATTGAAGACAAATATTTCAATTAATTTTAAATTTCAATTAAAAAAAATTATAAATTATTTTTTAAAAAGAAAATCTTAATAGTGTTGAAGTGCTTGGTATCTTGTAATATAAATCAACACTAAGATAAACAAATAAATCTAATTACATTTAAATAAATAAATATATGCTATTATATGCCACATTTGTAAGCAAGAAGAATTAATTTTGGAATTTTTACAACAAATAAGTTTGTATAATCTTGAGTATAAATTTGTAATAATAATTAATATTTATAATAATTATTACTTTGCTCTTTATATGAAGTATATAAAAGAACATTTTGGTGAATATATGGAATGTTATAATTTTGACAACCACAAAATAATACTAAGTAAAATAATGCTCAATTTCTTTATGTAATACAGCATAATATATATATATATATATATATATATATATATATATTTATATATATATATTTGTTATTTACCTTGTTTAATCTTTAAATATTAGATCACAAAGTTCAATTTGCAATACATTTGCAAATTTAGATTGAGATTTAGTAGAAAAACAATGTAGAAATTCTATTTCAATAGAAGAATTAAAAAAAAAAAAAAAAAAGCTTTAAAAAAATTCTTCTTTTTGTGTGAATTTTATGTGATTAAAAATTTGACAAATACAGGGAGTTTGTTAGAATTAAGTGTAAAGTGTATATAAAAAATATTAGGCAAAACGCACAACTGCTGTATTGTGAAAGGTATTGGAACATATACATTAAAAAGCGAAGAAAGTAAGCAAATACAAGTACAAACACAAAAGAATAAGCAAATCAACTAGAGCAGTCTCTCTTTCCGCCAAACAAATTGGAGGAGTTAACGTATTTTCCTAGTCGTTGAAGGTAGCCGTTCCGCCGAGTTGGCTTCTGTAATGGAGAAATTTGATTAGCATAATACGTAAACCATTATCTCTCGTACCAACTCCTCGCACATCATGAACAAAATCACAATTTTCTGTTCATGTTCAAGTTAGTAGCTATGGAATAAGACGAATTAAGAAATCGAAAAAGTACATGTTGCAAAAACCAAGCTCAGGTTCTACAAGAAAATGATGCAAGAACAAATCACGTACTAGTCAATCAAAGAATCCAAGCAGTTATGACTAGACAATTCTGAACGCTAAGCATGTTATTTTCTCTTGTTAATGATAGAGAACATTCTATTTGTTTCGGAAATTAAACCAAAGTGAAGCACAGTGTGCATATAACATGAAGCACTAGATAAGAATCATACCAGAATCAGGGCTGTGTGGATATCGATCAAGTCTTTGACAATTTTGTCAAAAGAAGGTCTTTTGAAGGGATCACCCTGCCAACAACTCTCAACCAGTGATATCAATCTCTCATCATTTAGAAAGTTCCTTGACATTTTTCGGCAATTTTCACGGAGGTGTGGTCTCAAATTATCATAAATTACTTTGTCTCGTATTCTTGGGCGGTCGTACGGTTTCTCTCCTGTAAGAACCTCAAATGCTGCAATGCCAAAGCTGTAGACATCAAGAGCTTTCGGATAATAGATGATCTCTTCCTTGTTCTTGTGCCACTTCAAAGTTTCTGGTGCTGCATAGTGCGGAGTATATCTTCCCGGTTAAAAATTAGGTGTGGATTCCTGATTCGTACTCACAAACTGAGCACTACCAAAATCAGCAACCTTAACCAAGTAACGTGTTACATTCTATGATATCAATATTTTGCTAACATATATATTCTCAGGCTTCAGACCCCCATGTACCACGTCCTTTCCATGCGTATATGCCATAGCTTTTGCCAACTGCAGTAGTATATCAACAGAGTCATGGTGAGAAAATGGTGGCGCGTTGCCATTATCACGAACTTTTTCGACTATTAATTGATTAAGATCAGAATCCATTTCCTCCATGAATATCGAACGCTTGTCTGTAGAATGAGAGACTCCAAAGCTATAAACAATGTGAGGATGAGATAGATGTTCCACAATACTGAGCTCCGCATCGTCCGCATCGTCCGCATCGTTCAAGGGTTCAACTCTAGGATCAGTGTTATCGCTCCTCTGGGAACAAGACCTTCTGCGATCTTTTCCCACAAATCGACCACCTTTCCATGTCACTCTCCATATATTCTCCGTAGCAACCAGTTTCTCTTTAATTACATCATCAGATTGGATATTTCAAAACAACCTTGGAGGATCTTCTGTAGAGTTTCCATCCACAGCTCCTCCGAATCCATGGTGACCGAATTCACATGCTACTTTCTTCATCCGCCATTCCACTAACTTTTGCGTCAATGTTTTCTTTTCTTGTATTGCCTCCATGAAAATAACACACGGAAAATGCACACAGTTGCTTGAATCATCTCTTGTTTCTTGCATCTTTCTCCAAAATGGATCACAGGGTAGAATGTTGCTATGGATGGTGATATTGGATCTGAGGATACGACATTCCTTCTCTGTCGATGTTGGAGAAAATAGTTCTTGAGGAGCCTTCTCAGATTTGATAATTGTCCGTATCCATTGATTCCTTGCAACGCTAAGAAAAAACTTCTCGGAATTACAAGCAGCAATGCAAAGCTCACTCAAGAATTTCAATTGTATTCCCCCCACATCGGGGAAATATTCACTCGACAACCGGATAAATTTTTCCCGCCAAAGTTCACCACACTCTGCAATATTTGATGACTGATCAACAGTTTGAGCATTGCATAAGTTTATTACTCGACGATGGCAATCAAGCTCAGCTTCAGGCAAGCTATCTCTTGCCCCTTGCGCAAGCTCAAATTGCTCTTTCATACTACTAGACAGGCTTGGCATTCTCAATCACATTTGTACTAGGCTCGACTTGTACTTCAATAGGCTCGAAGTGCTGAGAGGATATGATCTCTTCACTAGATAAACCATCAGATAGCTCTAAGTACTCCGTCTGGGGGTTCTCTTTCCCTCAAGAATCAGTAGCTGAGAAGTACTCAGTCGTCTTTTGTCCTGGAAATAACCATTTGGAATGTTGAACATCTTCTAGCACGTTCTTCATGTGAGTCACTGTAGCCACCATACTCCACTAACACCTTCACCCCAAAATCTTTATACCATCCAAAAAAATGCTATTTCATACGTGAGCAATCAGTGTACGAGACAAGCTTGGATGCACCCACCCCCATTAATTTCCAAAGTTCACGTTATCATTTCCTACTGTCACAAAAAAAGAAAAAGAAAAAAAGAAATGAAGGAAATGAGAATTTTAATGGGCGAGCCATATTCTAGAAAAATTGGATAACCTGCTATCTGGGTACGGCAATGCAGTGCTTACCTCAGTATTGGAGGAAACTCAGAAGTTCGTCAACGAGGTGCTGTAAGTGCACGAATCAGATGCAACCCCCCTTGACCTCTGTATCACAAACCATCAAACCTGTTGAACTGAATTCTGCCGAGGCTCTGGGGAACAACTAACGGCATTCACATCAAGGGCTCAGAAAGCAGCAAGCTCACGCAGCAATTCACTGTACTCATATCACAACATTCAACTTGTGCAATGGGTGGATTCAGTGCTGATCCAACGACTACACCCGTAGTGCAACTAGAATCATGTGTGTCGGGGCTTCCGAACAACACCAGAACCACCGCTGCTGCTCCTGACTAGATCTCTAAAGATTCCTGACCCACTGCTCGGTCGTCGCCTACTGACTGCTCAATCTTGTAAACCACCGTCGACACTAATCTTGCGACAACTAGAAAGCCAATATATTTCAGGGGGACTCCGCAATCCTCTACTTGCTACTACACCTCTTCTGTTTCTCATTAAGAAAAACCTCCTGTCGGAAAATGATGCCCTTTTCGCTGCTGTTGCGGAGGTCGACACCCATTCCGTCGAGGATCAAACTGTATCATCCATCTGTGCATTCATTGTCGTTGTCGTTGTCTGTACAACCGTAAATGGTATGGGTCTATTCGTTAAGGCAATGAAGTTTCCTTCGTTTGTTCCAAAAAAACAGAAAAGGATGGGCATCGTCTCTAGGTGCAACCATCCCATTGTCGGTACCGATTTTCCATAGAATATCGTCGGTCGTCCGTCAGCCTCTGGAGGATGGATGCAGAATTGTACGTGGATGAAGTCACGATAACGCATGAGTCAGAAGGCCACAGTTGGTTGGCCTGTGGAGATGGCTTTGGGATGCGGTAAAGCCGGAGTTGGCACCTTATCCTTCAATGCCGGCGGGATCCTTGGACGCCCTTTCATTCGTGGAAGCGAGCTTCCAATCCGAATTCCCCCGACAGGATCCTCGTCGCGCTCTCTTTTGTTTTTCCTGGATCTGAATTTCGGAGCTCTGTTTTTCCTGGTGTGTTGCGGCTAGGGCAGCATCGTTGTTCGTGCTGCGGTGGAGCTGTGTAATTGTCGATTTTTTTTGCTTCCTTGTTCTACAACGCGTGATTCTCCCTTCTTCCTGGTTGCTAGTGCTGGTCATCTCCAGCGCCGTGTGTTTGGTTCGGCTACGAACTATGTTCGGTTCCTGTTCTTCCTGGTAGTGCATGACGGTAGTGGGCAAGTGTTGTTGTTGCGTCACCTTTCTATTTTTGTTTTTTTGGAACTACATCCCACTCCATCCGTGCTAGTCGTGCCCGGTTGTGAGAATGTGAGTGGTTGTATGTGTGTGGCTGCAACGTCGTTGTGATCGAGTATTTTGGACAAAGAGCGTTCAGGGCGTCTATTGTGGTTCTGTTTCTTGTGAGTTCTAACTGCAGTGGCCCCGCTCTGGCGTCTCAGAACGTGCATCGACTAGTTTTCGAGTGTATGTCATCATCTCCGTTGAGGGAAGCTCACATTGACTCTGATGTGGGTAGCCTGGAATCCATTAGGTGATAACAATGGAAAGTGAAGGATCGACCATCTGCCTCTTGACAGATCGATTTACGTCCAAACTGAAATCTGCATGTGCGGAATGCATCTGACGGGAATTACCAAGTACATCCAGTACCGAAGCCTTCTGTCAGGGACTGCTGCAATTGTCACCATCATAGCGCCCTCGCTTAAGTTATTATGTTACCCAGAATTGTGCAAAAGCCATCGAGAAGAAGGATTTCTTCCTGGTGCACTCAAAACCCGTCGCAACACTTCTGCACAAGGGAAACTCCTCTCGATTGTAGCCAACCCTGGAAGTTCCCCAGCGTGGTCAGGCCCTGCTTGTCTCCGTTTTCTTCAGCTGAACATACAAACCAAGGCGATACAGTTCACGCCAACCAGCCGTCGCTGTACACGGCCAAGTGCTCCCACAAGAACACTTCAAGCAGATGTTGCAGGATTGGTTCCTCGGAAGTTGCTGATGATACGTCCTGAAGTCTTTGTTACTATTCAGCGGCTTTGTTTCAGATTTGAAGTTGAGGTTCTACAATAGTGCATCCAACAGCATAGAAATTTAAACTATCGTGAACAAGGTATACTCATTGGCACTCCCTTCGAAGTGCTTTCTCATGTAGTTTGGGAGTTAATCCCGCTGGACCAATTGTACTCCAGGCCTTTGAAGAATGGCCTGAAGTGCTTCAATACTCGAGACCATCAAATTCAAATTGTTAAGGGCAGTTAGCACGGCATTGTTGACCGCCAGTGCAACCGTGACTAATCTTAAGGGTGAAGAGGAAGATTCCAGACTCCTGAATTCATCACCAACCTCAACAGTCAATCTGAACTAGTTGCTTCAGTGTTCAGGACGACGGCTCCCACTGACCCGCTTGCTGCTGCATTCCTGCCTGGAAGCGGGGAATTTAAGTCGTTCAAGCTCTTCCTCAACAGGCAACTACTGTTATTCATTGGTAAGAACATTAAGTGAATGAAGTCGGACAGGGATGAATTTAGGTTTGTGTAGATGACCTTTTGTGCTAATATGGATGAATAAAAGGATGAATTGATACTTTAGGATGAAAAATTCTAATGACATGATTTTGCATGGATGAATTTTATTATTTCTTATTTTAATGAATTAAATTGAGGAGGTCAATAATGGCAATTTAGTTGGATTTTAAGTTACAAACACAAGTAATTGTTAACCACTCAAAGCTTGATGAGTTCTTGTGAGGATTCAAGTTAACTACCAACTAGTGATAATTTATTTTAGTTCATAGGACATGCAATTCTTATGTTAAAAATTTAAGATTAGGAAAGTTAATAGCAATTTAGATAAGTTTGAGTTTAATAGAAAAAGAAATTGCATATATAATAATTTAACTTGTAGAATTAAATAGATAAAAAGAAATTATGATAGTTAAAGATAATGTTGATTTAAATTTGCAACAAGAACTTATGGTGTAGTTGGCTAATATATATATAAGATGAAATTAAATTAGATGTCTTTTAGGATTTAAGTTGATTTTTTATTTAATCAAAAGAAGGTGGATATATTTAAAAAAAATTATACCATATTCTTATATTCTCATTCTGTATGATTTTTGAGCAATTTTGTAGCTTGTTAAAAGACTGTTTTATTTGTATCACTAAATTTATTAGGTGTATTTATTTTAGTAAAGATGATTTAAGATTTAGAATTAGAAAGTTCTACATTGAAGTTATAAGTCAAGAGTAGGTAATTAAAATTTACAAAGAAATAAAGAATTGGCTATTGATTTATTTGGAATTGATGATCTAGGCTTAGAATTACAAATTTAATATGTATTTAATTTGATAAACTTTCATAAAATACAAAATCAATCTAATAAGTTATTGTGTAAATGGTGTGATAAGAAAATTGGACTATTTTCAAGAAGTTCTCCATGGCATTTATTTTGGAATCAATCAAAAAATGTATCATAGTGGAAAGGATTTTTTAATGCATTTGGACTTAAAGATTTCTAATGAATATGGAACAATCTAATGATTACTTATTGTCACGGACACAAAAATACAGACTTGAGATTTAACAAGAAGTTCAAGAAGAACTGGTAAGAACTAGATTAATCAGATGAATACAAGAATAATACCAGAGAGGTGACCTAGAGCTCCAAGAGATGTGTTGTCGAGACTGAAGAACTCTTCAGCCTCGATTCCAATATATACTCCTATTTAGGAAGCTTCTCAAGCAACTTCTACCAACTAGGAAGCTTCTAAAAGGTTCCAGAGACTTGTTTCTAGAAGGTTCTAGAAACTTATCTCTAGAAGGTTCTAAGGACTATGTTCCTAACATCTTCTATCAACTAAGAAGCTTCTAGAAGTTTTCAGAGACTTGCTTCTAGAAGGTTCTAAAAGCTTGTCTCTAGAAGGTTCTAGAAACTTGTCTCTAGAAGGTTCTAAGGACTATGTCCCTAACATCACCTCCTCCTTTAGCTTCGAGGTCTCTGAGAAGCAATGTTGTTGTCAATCAGTACCAACGTAAGAAAATGAAGATCTGTCGCATAACGTCTGCTATGAACTTCAACTGTTGTTCACGAGGTAAGTGGTTCATCGACCCTTGAAGCCAATGATAGTGGCCCACTTCTTCAACTTCTGACCAAGCATGAACTTCTGTGTCTTCATTGTGAAATTGTCTTGCAAATATGCCTTCTGGTTGACGATCGTAAGTAGGCTCGCTCTCAAATACAATCACCAGTGATCGATTACTGGGTATCCTTCGTCGTCGTTGTGGTGTACATGGTTCTTCATTTTGGGGTCACCTTCGTGAATTAGTTGGATGAGATAATTTGACTAGGATAGTATCTATCTCTTGGCTATCCATATCAGAAGACCAAACTATGGCTACTGAAAAAATTCTATTTTATTTTCGAAAAAATAACTACATCAACTATGAATTTTGGTGGTGCTCTCCTCCTTTCTTATATTCTCGGATGAACAAGCTTCAAAAGGAAGCTATCGTCGAACCGGCTTAGGTTTATGAGGATGTTGTTGATGAAACTCTTGTACCTTTTGCGATGCATTGGCAAGATTTTCAGCTGGCTATCACATTCGCTCATTAATGTCGTAGCTGCACCAATGAACAAGATACTCCAACTTGCCCCGCCTTCGCCGTGAATCCAATACCTTTTCAACCTCGTATTCCTCGTGGTTCTTGATCTCAATACTAGGTGGCAGACATTGCACTCTTCCAGGAAAAGACGTCTCTTGATAAGGCTCCAACAGAGAAATATGAAAGACTAGATGTACCTTCATAGAAGCCGGTAATTCCAGACGGTATGCCACTGAATTGATTTGCTTCTGGATGATAAATGGTCCCAATCTTCAATAGTCCAACTTATCACATGGTCGCTTGGTCTTGATACTCTGTTGAAGAAGCCATGATTTATCTCCAATTTTGAAAGTAGGTGCTTGATTCCGAGATCTATCTGCAGACGCCTTGTAGGATTCTTGAGTGGATTGTAATTGAAGCTTCAACGTATTTTGAAGCTCTAATAGTTGTTTCGTAAATCCTTCAGCTGTGGATTGTTATTTGTTGACGGACTCAATAAATCAAGCTTCGGATGATATCTATAGTTGGAAAAGAATGGTGTGTATTGAGTCGATGCATCGAGGGTGTTGTTATATGCAAACTCAGCTAGCGACAGATATATGATCCAATCGTCTTCCTGATAGTTGATGCTGCATCGTAAGTATTGTTCCAAGACTTGATTCACCCGTTCCGTTTGGCCGTCAGTTTGAGAATGAAAAGCCAAAGAAAGCTTGATATCCACCTTCAGTATCTCAAAGAGAGATCTCCAAAACTTTGATATGAACTGGGTTCCTCGATCTGATATGATATCATTTTGTAGTCCATAATAACGATACACATTATTAAGAAAGAGCCTTGCTGTGACTTCACTGGATGATGTCTTCTTGCAAGGGGCAAAATGTGCCATTTTTGTAAGCCGATCTACCACG